CGCAGAGTTCGTCGCCACTTCCGACCGCTCAGGCAGACAGGCCCGGGCGACCTAATAAGTTTAATCGGACTCTAAAAAATTGCTAATTTGCAAACCCCCCGAAGCCAGAAACTATGCCCGGAGGCACAGCAGAAAGAAGCCTGCCAGCAAGGACGAATGAGGAAGCGAAGACCTGCTCTTTAACGCCATTCAGATAACAAAGCAAGACAACTACCGGACGCCGGCCCTCGCGAACAAATGCGACGACCCAAGCGCCCGGCCACGGTAGCCCAACCATGTCCGCCCGGAAACCAACCTCGGAGAAAACCCTGCTAATTTGTCTGCTAATTTTACCCCCCCGACCCCCTTGCGGGAGTCTGCTAAACGCCACAGACAATTCCAAGAAAGCCCCTGCTAATTGGGTCTTTAATTGGGTGCTAATTTTTTTTGGTGTCTGCTAATACGTCTGCTAATTTGTCTGCTAATTGAGCCCCCCCCCGGATGCGAATGCGTCTGCTAATTTGTCTGCAAAGCCAAAAACCAATGCGATTTCCCTGTTGTTCAAAACTGCTCGAACAACAGGGAAATCCCATTGGATTTCTTTGCTTTGCGCAATTAGCGCTTGGTTAGCAGACCCAAAACACAACGCCCGAACCAATTAGCTTACTATTAGGAGTGGGGTTAGCAGACCCCTTCCCGAAAAGGCCCAAAATTTTAGCTGACTATTAGAAGTGCAAGTTAGCAACTGCGTTCTGGGCACTTTTCTGAAAATTCATGACCCGATTAGCGGACTAATTTAGCGGACTCCGGAAGCCTACCTCATCAAAGGCCGGAATGTCCCAACCGGACCCCACAGAGACAAACCGGCAGGCCCGTGCCACAAAATACACGCACGACGGGCGACATACCCGCCGTCCGGCAGGCCAACGAAAATGCGGCCCACCCATCAAAGCTGAAAACCCAGAGAAGAGCCGGCCGCGCGACTGCGTCGGGCCTTGAAAACACGGAAAGCCCGAAAGCCTGCCGGGGCCCGGGCGCCGGTTCAATTTAGCAAATTTTTAGGCTGCAATTAGGGCGGGAATTCGCCCGGGCCTGTCTGCCTGAGACCGCTATCGGTTTGTGGCGTATGACCTTAAGCCATTCGAGGCCAGCCCGAACCTCTTCCGCGAGGCTTGTGAGCAGGAATTCGGAAAAAAGACACAAAAGAGGGGCGCAGCCGTTCCGGGCCGTGCTTACACTCTTCCCGGCCGCCTTCTTTCCCGGGACGAGCAGGGCCCCAACGCAGACGAGGCGGAGGACATAAGCATGTCCCCCGGTGCGGAGGATGCGGCGGCAGCAGCGCAGCGCCAGAAAGACGAGGAACTCATCAACTTTCTGCATGGCGGCGCCCCCCCACAGGAGTGTGGGCCCCTCGCCACCGTCTGCATTAAGTGCGGCTGCGCACTTACCGGCGCCACTGCCCGAGCCACCGCGCAAGTTCTCCAATCCAATCTGACGACGTGCGACGCCATCCACGTCGGGAAGCGCTGCTGCTCTAAGTTGTGCGGCGCATGGCACCGCTGCGGCTACGTTGTAAACAACGGGAAACATTAGAACACCTGGGAAACGGTGGACGAGCTGAAGGCGCGCGGGGTCTTCTTCCTGACGACGACCCTGGGGATTGCCGTCGACCAGGTCGAACTTTTTCGGGGCCGCGTGCTCCGGTCCCGGACTACGGGAACGAATGGCAGAAGCCTGGCGCGCAGGTCTCCGCACCAAGCTTGCCACCAGCCGCGTCACGGAGTACCTCTGGACAGCCTATTGCGCCTACGAGCTTCTCGCGCTGCGCTGGACGGGCTTCGTCGTGGCGCCGATGCCTGTCATGCTGAACGCCTTCGCCCTCAATGACATCAAGACCACCCCCATCGGTGCGGAGGACGAGCTGGCGCAGATGGAAACGGCTGCCATCGATGGCAATCAAAAAGTGAACCGCGTCAAGGAAGCCGGGGAAGCCTGCCCGTATTCCGCGGCCGCGCGCCCGCGCGGGCGCCCGAAAGGTTTGCAGAGCCTTGCGCTTTTTATTTTAGCTGTTTGGCCGCGCAAGTTTAATTTCTTTGGGTTTTGTGTGTTCCGTCTTATTGAAACGCAGCACCGCACTGACTGACCACACAGGCTCGCCAAACAAAAAGCCGGCACGCAGCAAAGCCGGCAGCCGTTCCGCAAACGTGCGCCAAAAAAGACAAGACCAAGCCCAAGACGTTCAAGAACCGGACGGGCGGGCTCCTCGTGGTATCGAACGAAAAGACGGGCGCCATTGTCGCCGTGGAGGAGCTACTGGCAGCCGAAACGACACAGCAGAAGGCGGCCTGGGTGGTTTCCCATGTGGAAAAGCATGGCGCGCAGTTGAAGACCGTGCTCCATGACGACGCCTGCCATCTGGCGCCGTTCATCGAGAAACACCACCCCGGGAAAGTCCCCTCCGTCAAATTCCTGATCGACAAATGGCACACCCGAAACCACAAGTGCGGCGACAAGTACAAAATCAAGGGGGTGAACAAGCGGCGCTGTATGGAGAAGGGCATCCGCAACACGTCAGTGGCGGAGCAGGCGAGCAGCTGGCTAAGCGGCTACCGCAAATCCCTGACGAACATGAAGGGGAAGAGTTTCAACTTTGTGCTGCGGTCCCTGGTGCGGAGGTTCAACGGGCTCAAAACGAAGGACCGCCAGGGGCTTTTCCGCCCGGTTGGGAAGAAATGAGCGCGCGGCGGGGGCGGTCGATGACTAAAGCGGCGGGCAGGCAAGCCTGCTCCGCCGCGGCCTTTCTGAGTACTTGCAAACACGGAACCACTACCCGCGGCGATGAGCGACTCGCGCCGGCCGGGTGGCTCTATGTGAGTGCGCCTCTCTGCTATGAAGGCCCGTGAGTGAGCTATGTGCAACAGTGGCAAGCGGGCTTTCCTGCTTCCACGCCTGCACTTCTTTTCTGAATACTTACACAGGTGGGCACTTGTGGCGTGGACGTATCTACGCCATGCAGGTGGTCCTGTGTGCTATGCCTGAAGGCCTCCGAACTTTGACAACCGAGGATAATGAGACCTGACAACCGCGGCGATGCGCGAACCGCGCCAAGCAGGTAGATCCTTTGTAGAGCACGCCCAAGAGTAAGACGCTGGGGCGCCTCGTTGCGCACCGGCGCCCCCAAGCGCGTGGGACGCGGGCCCGAGTGCCTCAGCGCCTTCGTTTTTTGTTTTGTGTTCTGTGCCGAGTCGCTGGGTCGGCGGGCCGGTGGCGCCCCCTTGCCTGACCAGCATACATATAAACACACACGGAACCCGTCGCAGTCTGTCGCTCGCTTCAGAGGGTCCGCCTCGGTCTGCCGCTCGCTACAGAAGACTGACCAGCCTCGGTCTGCAGTTCGCTACAAAGGATCAGCCTCGGTCTGCCGTTCGCTTCAGAGGATCGCCCTCGGTCTGTCGTTTGTATCGGCCCTGTCTGCTTGCCCGTTGTTTCTTCGTTCGCGTCTTGTATTTCTTGTCTACGTGATTCAGAAAGTTATTTTGAATCTTTGAGATCAGATCGCTCTCGCTCCAAGAAGTTGTTTTTACCGAAGCTCGAGATCTTCGCTCCTGGCTACTCGACCGACTTCAGACCAGACAAGAGCAGCACAAAGAGATCGCACCTGGAGCGATAGTGCGCCTCGCTGGATGAGAAAAAAAAAAAAAGAGAAAAAAAAAAGGAAAAGATCGCAAAACAAAAGTTAAAAAAAAAAAAGACGAAAGCTTACGCCAAGAGACGTAAAGCAGCGACATTCAGACTAGCTAGGATGGTTGACCGCAGCAAAGTGTGAAAAGCTTCGCGCTGATCACGGCGCTCGGTGGCGATTTATGTGTCCGCTTCTTTGCCTCGCGCGGAAGAAGTGGCTGGGCATTAGCTTGGGGTGTGTTTTCCTCTTCGACGCCGAGGGAAGATGGCTTTTGGCAGAGCTTAGCCTTTTGCCCTTGACCCTCGATGGTTTGATTGGTGGCTAGGGATTGCTCCTAATCTCTTGAACACTAAGGGCGGACAGGTGGTAGCCCTGGTGGACACTAAACGATTGCTCGCGCGCAGCTAAAACGGGCCGCGTTCGGACGTGGGTGATGCGGCTGGCGACCGACCCAGTGCAGGCAATTTACCTAGAGGAAAACACACAGCACGTGATCAGTTCCTGGCTCGCCAGATAGTTAGAAGACTATCGAAGAAGCTTGTGCTCGCCTTGTATTTCTTGTCTAGCAGACACAACACGAAGCAGAAACATGCCACCTACAGGCGGCAGAGGCAGAATCCTGTAAAACGCGCGCGCGCGCGTCAAACAAAACACACGGCCCCGGTCATTTCCGAAGTCGGCGAAGCTGGTGAAGCTGATGAATTTGCTAAATTTCAGAAATCCGAGAAAGCTGGCGAAGCTGGTGAAGCTGATGAATTTGCCAAATTTCGCAAATCCGAGAAAGTTGACGAAGCTGGTGAAGCTGATGAATTTGCCAAATTTCGCAAATCCGAGAAAGTTGGCGAAGCTGGTGAAGCTGGTGAAGCTGATGAATTTGGCAAATCCGGGAAAACTTGCAAAAAAACCCAAGCCGAAGCCGGTAAAACGCGCGCGCGCGTGCGCGGTAGATCCTGCCCGACTCCCAGCAATTTTCTCTGGTTGTTTCTTTTTTTTTTGCTCTTTTGCTTTTCAAAAAAAAAAAGTCAACTTTTCAAGTTGAATCAGGTCGGTTTAGAACAAAAGTCGCAAAATTTCACTTTTTCCCGCATGCTATGACCAACCCCACCGGCCGGGTCACTCTCTATTTTTTTCCTCATACAACCGTACCTCCGGGTGTTGTGCTGTTGCCTTTTCTCCTCCTCCTCCGCGTGAGGTCACGCTGCTGTCCCCTTCCAGTATCCCGCGAAAAAGCGTCCCCACCTCGTAGTTGTCATGCAAATCTGCATGCGTAAAATGTTTCTCATGCGGAGCCCCATGCGAGTCATTTTCTAGTCGTTTTTTGGAATTTGTGACGCTTCGATCGGCAAAGACGTATAATTTTCCAAAACCTCCTCTGGAACTAGAACCAACAACTTGTACTCGCCCCGTTAAAAATAGCCGTTAAGGTCGTGGTCTGGAGTGGTGCTCGTGATCTGCATGATACTTTTTCCGCCGAAGTGCCTCCTTCTGGGAGTAACACTACTTACTCTGGTGAGAAGAATGGGTCCAACGAATCCAACTCGACCACTGTGGAGGTGCATCTTCAGGTACCTGTATACGTAAGTACTGCTTCACCAGCGTAAACCTCCGACTGATAATTTTTTTTCTGTCGTCGCGGCCTACAATTTCCGGAAGCCAATATCTAGAAGTCCTGCGCTGATAAGTAGATACTAGTACTGTTGCGTATAAAATCACAACCTTTCGTCAACTTCCGAGTGCATTTTTGCAGAAGCGGGCAAACCCTTGATCTAGTCCTCGTTGTGCAATATATGTGCAAGAAAAAGCCGTCTGTCTATAAATTTGTTGCGAGACAAATGAGAGAAAAGTGGGACATGTCTAAAACAGTCATGATGTTTTTAGAGGTTGCGTTTATTTCGTTCTATGAAATTATATCGTTCGTCCGATCTTCTCTATGCGTGCATTAAGAATCATAAAAACTGCGGTTCTTGAAGATCTCTCTTTGCGATTGCGCAGACTACTTCTCTATAACTCTTCTATTCCTGCTTGCGTATCAACAAATTGCAGAGATAATTCCATAGATGTTGTGTCGCTGATGTTTCGTTTGTATTCCTAATTGTAACATCTCCATGAACTACCCCTTTCCTGGTGGACCCGCAGGAGCTGGGGCATCTTCAAAACGAAAGTTTTATGACTTATGCTCTTTACACAATTTGAAAAGTACAGCAGGTGCGTCTGACTCTACTGAAAAAGAGCTGCTAAAAGAACCCGTGTAGAGGATGCACTTCTTCATCCGTAGAATCCTCGTCCGCCTCTTTGTATCGTACGAAAAAAGTGTTTCACTGTAGGAATTTTGCAAGTTTTGCATCACAAGTTTGTTCCACATGAGAGAGAAAATTTGCCATGCGAGATTCCCAAGGGAAAACACAGCTAGAAATCAAAAGCCTTGGGTGTGTAGCAAGACAAATAGGGTTGTGTTTCATTCACGACTGCATCACAAGTTCACAGTGAAACACTACTTTTTCCTTGCATATACTGCTGCCCGAGTCTACTCTTTCCACCTCGCCCCAAAGGTATAACTTGGCGAAGGGAAAGAAGTGCAGTATTCTCATTGACGCAAACTTGTCATGCAGTGTCACTGCGAGCCGGAACTACTTCTTGTCTCGTCGGAATAAATACAACACGGTGAGTGGACTGACTTGTCATACTTATATATGAAGTGAGTCGAACAAAATGTGTCAACATCTACTTACTTAATAACGGTCGTGAAACCTCCACTGCACTTTTTTCCCCTTTGGATAACAGAAAATGTCCCGGCTGGCCCTGGATCAGTCTCGCTATGCACTGCAAAACTATCGCACTCGTAGTATTGCAATAGAAATTAGCTCAGCATCGCAAATGGAATTTGTCATGCTGATTTATCTTAACATGTAGATTTGTAAATGCATAATTGCGATTACTACGAGTACGATACTTTTGCACAGGATACTCGCGTGAGGCGTACTATTTCCGCCCGCGCTCGGAGAGGAGGTCGTGTTAATGTCTTGATCCATCTCCGCTTCATCCCCTTTCGCATCTGGCAAATAAAGCGAGGACTTTCTTTGCTCGTCGTGGTGGTCCTCCCATGGTTCCGCACACAGTAGTTTTTCCACGGCGAGGACTCGGGTGTACTTCTCGGATGTTGTATCATCGTCCTGCCGCAAAAGAGCTCGTCCGCTAAACCCTGGACTACTACAAGACGAGAGCTGCATGCAGTGGTCCACGCAAGCAGACCCAGGAGCACTGTCAGGCGGCGGATATCAAAATGAAAAATCCCCCCTCCCCATATCAAAACGGAAATCTTCTGTGATGCTGATTTGTGGCCGCAAAGGCAAATCAGCTTTGTCATGCTAGAAGGGAAATAAAGCATGCGGACTGTAGTTCTGGGCGACGTGGGAACAAGACCTTGCATCTTCAGCATGACAGGAGGCAGCTGGAAGTGGGAAACTGCATGACAAATTGCCTGCAAACGAGGCCACAACTGCGGCTCTTGGCCTTCTAGCAAAGCGATTTGTGTACTCAAATACAGCATCACAAATTTCGTTTTCGGGAGGGGGGATTTTTCCTTTTGATAGCGGAGACGGGGAAAGCATTCGTGCCGCCCGGCCAGTTGCAAGAACATCATGATCCGGATGTTGAGCAGCAGAAGAATTATCTGGTGGTGCACACGCCCAGAGGACATCATGATCTACGTCTTCTCCCGTGGTAGTATAGCAAAAATTCTCCTCCTCCCGGCTGGTAGCGCCGGCAGTAGTTTCGGTGGATTGCTGACGGGAAAAATCGCAAAGTTGTGCCAGCTGTTGTGCCTGTTTGACCCCCTCCACGGTGCGGCCCTGCTGTAGCGATCGTGCTAGGACGCTGTGCTGGTCCTCGTGCTTCTTCATCATTTGTAAGCACTGGCGCAAATAAAACGGCGAGCAGTTCTTGTTTTCATCGTGCTGCACTGATGCACGCACGACCGGCGCAGGAGCTTCGAGCTTGTCGGCTTCATCATTTTTTGGCTTCACGGCCGACGACCCTGCTGTACCAATCATTTCTAGCTTCAGCTGCTGTAAATTCTCGGTGATGTCCGCTAATCGGTCCTCCCGAAACTCCTTTTTCAGCCTCCGCCGCACTTTCTTCATCTTCGCAACCCAAGATTTCGACAGCTCGAGATGTTATCCCAGCATGTGCAAAGCGGTATCGTAGTCGTTGTATCAATTGCACGCATGCATGACAAATCTTCTTACCAATCAGCGAAATCAGCATTGCAAGTTCAACCTTTGATGCGGAGAAAATCAAAATTTGTCGTGCAATTCACTTACAAGTACGATACTTTTGATGCAATGCATAGGTTCAACGCTGCGCTGGTGCACGGAGACACAGAGGAGGCACTAGTCCCTCCGCTGCTGCTGTTATTTTTCCTATTAAGAACCCAGGCCACCAAATCCGCGATATTTTCATCGGTCGCGGTGCTGGGACGGCTCGGACCCGGTTCGAGACCTTGTGACAGGACAGAAGTTTTTTTATCAGCACAAGAAACAAACCCGTTTTTCGTACTGCACACGGCCGCATTATCGTAGTGCTTCACTGTACGGATTTTGCAAGTTCTGCATCACAAGTTTGTTCTACATAACAGAGAGAATTTGCCATGCGAGATTCCTAAGGGAAAACACAGCTAAAAATCCATTGCCTTGCATGTGTAGCAAGAAAAATACTTCTCAGAAGATGCATTTTCTGCATTACAAGTTTACAGTGAAACAATTTTTTCTTGCGATACGCATCAAGGGAGAGCGGCAGGTCGAAGCAGCCGTGGGCGGCGAAATGTTCTTCTTGCAGGTAGTTTTGTTGAACTACCCCAGTGCCGCGAGATGAACCACTTCTTCTCCTCTCTACGTATGTATGCATTGCAAAAGTATCTTACTAGTAGGAATTGCATTACAAATTTTCTCAGAAACAAACATGGAATTCGTTATGCTGATTCAGCTACTAAAGTAGATTTGTCATGCGAGGCTGCAACTACTACGGGTACGATAGTTTTGCAGTGCATAGTATGCGGGCTCGCCCGATTGCAGCGAAACGGGGTGATTCATTTTGTAGTGCTGCATGGACCGCCAGATGGGGAGGAAGGGCACGCCCACAGACTTGACTTTTCGTTGCTTGGTCGCGTATCACAAATGGAATAGTTACCGATCTGGTGTTCTGGAAAATGATTTTTGCCAGACTTCTGTCATGCAGGTTTATTTTCATGTTGGCCCATGATGTCTGGCATAGCATGACAGATTCATCCGGGACTCGAGATCTTTCTCTTCATCATGCCTCTTTTGCATGAGAATCTGCCTCGCAACTTTGCAAAAGGCGGGACGACTTTGTTTCACGCAACACGAATCACGCAACACAAATCTTTGTACGAAGCAGGCTAACCACGACACGTTGCAGTGTTCCAGAGAGGACAAGTCGAGATGGATTATATGTGCAATGCATATTGCGTTCACCTGGTCTTTTTCCCTCCTCTGCTCCGTTGTGAAGCCTTTAAAGTTCTCCTCGTGGCAGTCTTTTGCAGCAAGAACTCTCAGACGTAGCTCCTCCGCGTCGACGTCCTCTGCTGTGTTGATGTCACTAGTAGTATCCTGCGCAGCTAGTACTTCGGCACCGTCGGTTTCCTGTGCAGGTTGCGGCCGGGCTTTTCCTTTTTTACACGTAGTAGTACAACTAGCTCCCGCACATGCACTGGCAGTAGTAGACATCAGCACCTGTTCTTTCAATTCCCCGTGCAGGCGCAACTCCGCCTGTCGCAGCAGCGCGGCTCGTTCCCTCGCGATTTCCCGACGTAAAAAATGGCTGATAGGACTATAGCGCCGTATTTTGCCCCGGGATTTAACTTTTTTGGGCTTTGCGAGAGTTGTGATGGTAGTGTCCGTGTTGTCGTCCTTTGTGTAGGTCTGGTCCAGCAGCTCGTCGTCCAGGTGCCCTGGGGTCGGGGGCACAGGATCTTGCAGAAGTGCTGGTCCTCGTCGCCGACGCTCCTGGGGTCCCCCCTGCGTGGACGAAATAAAACTACTGGATGAAGCTGCTGCTGGGCCTGAGGCTGCAGTAGACGAGCTCAACATACTAGCACTACCGGCTGGTGGAGGACCGGCATGAGGCGGAACAGCCTCAACATTCTGATCGCGATTTTTCATCGCACGAAAAGCAGTTTTGATCTTCCCCGCGAAACTCCCCCCGATGTTGTAGTTGAAACTGCTCGTTAGTTTTGCGAGAAAGAAGAACAAAGACCTCGTCCGAAAACACGAACAACAGATGGCGAAACCACGAGGTCCGGGGCGGTGAGAGTGCGGGCGAGGGAACGTCTACTAGTACAACATGATAATCTGTGAGCAATATTATGCCATAATATTGCTCACAGATTATCATGTTGTAACTGCAAGAAGAGAGAGATGACGATGAAGATGCCGCCATCGTCATTGATAACCCTAAGAAGATATGAGAAAAAAAATATGCCGACGCAGGTGATCATGGCAGTCCGGTGCGTTCGGTATCCCCCAAGAAAACGTACCATAACTTCCTAGAGCGAGTTTTTCCGGCGACGCTCAAACGCCCAGAGATTTCGAACGTACAAAGCTTCCTATCAAAGCGAAAGACGCGAAAATTGCAGTCAGTTAATTTACTTGGTGTCTCATTGTCTTGGTGAATGATCTAGCGCCATGTAGATAGATATGGATCTACATTATAGCGGTAGATAAAGGGCCTGCATGTGTATAGACTGAGATAAAAACTTTTTTATGTGATAAGCGCTAGCACTAGCACGCTTTGCGTTTGCTCTGGAAAAACACCAATTGCGCACAAGCGCATCCGCAGCAACCCGAGTAAATGATACACCATGAAGATAAATTAATAGATGACAAGTGGCTTTCTACTTTCATACTTTTTGGAGTGTGTCTACCCTCCGAAGGACGTTTGTCTCACCCCCGACGAGCTTGACTTCTTCGGTCAGCCCGGAGTCCGCACAGTAACCGTCACAAATAACACGAGCCAGAAGGTACTAGCATTTTCGAGATTTTTGGCAT